ACACACCCTCATACACACTTCCTTAACACACATACACTCATACACATACAGCTAATACACACTCATACAAATGTACCCAACACACACACACACACACACACACACACACCTCATACACACCCCCCAGCACACATAATTCATAAACACATCTCAACACACACACACACACACACACAAACACGGGGTGAGGGAGGTTGGGGGAGGTCAGGTGAATGACTCAATAAATGCTATCTTACAGTAAGGAGCTGTTTGACCAGTCACTTGCCCTCCAGCAGCTAAGGAAGCAAAGTCACCAGCTAGTACCACAGGGATCAGCATGCCTCTCTCTGCCCACCGCTCCCCCACCCATCACCAGTACAATGCGGGCGACAGTATTAGTTCCCTGAGAGAAGAAATTAAAGGGAACCATTCACAAAAGAGCTCAGATACAGTTCAGCATTCTTTTCCAGTGCCTCAATGCATATGCAGGATTTCTCCTCCAAATTGGAGGTGTGGAATAACAGCGCCAGATAGCTAAGAGGTATTTACCGTAGCTACAAAGCTCACATGTGAGCCAAATATTTCTGCTATTAAAGAGCACTTCAAAGCTTGACGTGAAGTTTGTAACAGCTGAATGTCTCTTGTGACTTCATTTGCACAGAAGATGTAAAAGCAGAAAGGGAAGTCATGAGCTGAGAGCTGTGAGCCTATGGGGCTTTTCGAAAGGAATGAGATGCTGCCCAGAAGTGTGACTGGCACCCCATGCTTCGATTCCCCCACTCAGTGTCCTTAGCAAATGCTGTAGTTTGAATAAGTGTCCATCCGCAGCCTGTCTGATAAAGGCTTGGGCCCCAGTCTGGGGTGCTACTTGGAGGCTGTTGGAACCTTCAAGAGGTGTCGCCAAGAAATTCAGTCCTTGGAGCCATGCCCTTGGAGGGGATATTAGGATTCTGATCTGCCCTACCCCTCTCACTTCCTGATGAGTTCCTTCCTCTGCCCCACACTTCAGCACCTATAGAATGAACGCCTCACCATAACTTCAAAAAGCAGTGGCCAACTGACCATGGACTGAAGCAGACCAAACTATCAACCAACATCCTTCCTCTTTATAATAGTCTCAGAGAGATAACCAGCCCAGTAACTGTCAGTCATCCTCCTGCCTCTTACACAGGGCAGACCGGGGTCATGGATTCTGAGGCCCCTCTTTAGGGGGATGGGTTAATTATATCTTACTCTAGTGCAGTGTCTCACCCTTCCTAATGCTGCAACCCTTTAATACAGTTCCTCATGTTGTGCTGGCCCCCAACCAGAAGATTATTTTGTTACATCTTCATAGCTGTAATTTTGCAACTGTTATGAATTGTAACATAGCCAGGCAGTGGTGATGCGGTGGTGGTGCACGCCTTTGATCCCAGCACTTGGGAGGCAGAGGCAGGTGGATCTCTCTGAAATTGAGTCCAGTCTGCAGAACATTCATGGCTACACAGAGAAACCCTGTCTCAAAAAAAAAAATTAAGCAACATAAAAATGAGTTGTAATGTAAATATCTGGTATGCAGGATATATGATAAGTGACCCTTTTGAAAAAGGTCATTTCATTCCCACAAAGGGGTCACGACCCACAGGTTGAGAACCACTGCCTAAGGGACTCATAATGATCATGTAAACGCATTATTAGTGTCTATTGGCAGGGACCTTTTGCAAATGAGAGCTGGGACAGGTGTTTCATCTGAGCTTGTAGTGAATCTGGCCTG